TTCTCATTACTACTTATTCTTTTTGTTTATTATAAATACAGATCTTAGCTCTGATGGGCTGACTCTGCATAGACAGCCGACTCAGGAGCACCTCCCCCATCAATAACAAATCTTTGCTGTCCATTAAAATGTAGTCAACTTCATTCTTTGTGATGTTGTTTGGGACCCACCATGTCCAGTGCCTCCCAATTCATTTTTTGGAGAAAATAGAGATATGAGGCTCTGTATAATCTAGGTCTTCATCCTCTCTCATTTCTTTCTTCCCAAGCATATTCTGTATATGTTTCTCCCCATCCTTGCCTTTTCCCGCCTTTGCCACACCAGGTATCAGACTATATGTTCATTTGAGTTGGGGAGTCTTTTCACATTCTTCACAGACTTTTTCTATCACTTTGTCCTCACTAATTGATGATGATGGATGAGCAGCAATTATTTTCATGGGAATACTTATCATGCATGCTGACCAAATATCCCATGATATTTCTTATACTATTTCTTATAGCTTTTGAGTGTAGCATAAAACCCACTCTCCCAATTCCTCTCTTTCTGAAGTCTGTGTTGTTGCCAAAGGCCCCACCATCCTCCCAGTCTCCTAGGTTAGGTGTCATCCTTGACTCTATGCTCTCTCTTACTCATCATATCTAATCGGTTGCCCAGTTCTGTCGATTCCACCTCTGTAGCATCTCTTGTATACTCACTGTCCTCTCCTCTCACACTTCTGTCACCCTCATGCCTGAATTATTACAATGACCTTCTGGCGATTCCCCTGCCTCAAGTCTCTCCCCATTCCAATCCATTCTCCACTTAGCTACTGAAGTGATTTTCCTAAAATGCAGGTGTGCTCATGCCACCCTCCCCTGCTCAATAAACTTCAGTGGCTCCCCATTGCCTCTAGGAGCAAACACAAAATAGGATGTTTGGCATTCAGAGTCCTTCCTTACCTAGCCAGCCCCTACCTTTCCAATCTTCTTCCACCTTACAACCCCAACATATATGCTTCGATCCAGTAGCTGCTCCACAAACAGGACACTGGATGACTGGCCCCCAGGCCTGGAACACTCTCCTTCCTCTCTGCCAACTACTGACCTTTCTGGCTTCCCACCTTCTACAAGCAGCCTTCTCTAACCCCTGTTAATTCCAGGGCTTTCTCTCTTTTAATTATTTCCTATTTACCCTGTAAATAGCTTGTTTTGTGTGTATTTGTTTGTTGTCTCCCCCATTAGACTGTAAGCTTCTTGAGGGCAGGGACTGTCTTTTGCCTTTTTCTGTATGCATTTAGCACAGTGCATGGCACATAGTAGGTGCTTAATAAATGCTTATTGAATTGATTTCAGTAAAGGGCTGTTGAAGTAAGGATTAAAAATTAATTGGTGAATAGATAACTTAATCCAAAAGAATGGGAGTTAACAGGACTTGGCCACCTCCTGGACATGGGGTAAGAGAGAATGAGGAGTCAGGGATGACCCCTAGGTCGTGAACCCCAGGGACTGGGAGGGTGGGGGTGCTCTGACCACTAATAGAAATGTTGGCCAGAGGGGAGGCTTGGGGGTGGGGGGAGATGAGGAGTTCTGTTTGGGACACATTGAGTTTAAAATGTCAATGGCAGATGCACTTTAAAATGTCCAAGACGCAGTTGGAGATGGGAGACTGGAAGTCAGAAGAAAGGTTGGATAACTAGACCTGGGAACCATCTGCAGGCCCTGGGAGCTGACCCAATCACCCAGCAAAGGGCACACAGGAAGAAAAGAAGAGAGCAGTCTCCAGGACAGTGGCTTGGGAGACATGCAGGGGTGTCATTTCACAGAGGTGGGTGGTAAGGCCCACAAAAGGGTAAAGATGCCCAGAGGCCATTGAGTCTCCCTCCCCTCGGTTTATCTAGGCAGAAACCAGAGCTCTGAGCTACGAAGGCATTTCTTATTACAAAACATCAGAGCTGCAATTAGGATACTCAGTGACCCTTGGCCCCTTGTCCTTGCCCCATGCCTCACCAAAACCCATCCCTGGATGACTTCTACCACCTGCCTCCATTGATCCTACTCACCTGCTGCTGAATAGAACTAGGGGAAGTCATTCAACCAAGCTTAGCAGGAACACGGTGAATAGATACATCATAACCCTTGCCAAGAGATCACTGAGGGCTGGGAGGTGAAATACCAGATGGCACACAAGCATGGGTCTGGATGGGACATTGGGCAACGCCCTGGCTCCCTCAAACTCTTAGCACTGGTTACTCACCTCGTCCAATCTCCATCAGGCCCTCACCCCAGCACGGCAATCTTTCCCCTTCTCCTACCCCACTCTACACAGAAACTTCTGGACAGCTTCTCTGCTCCCCTCCAGCCTCCCACAGCATCCCTTCTCCCCATCCTCTCCACAGACAACCTCATCACTTCCTGTTCAGAGAGAAAATCAAGGCCTTTCACACCAGCTCTCTTTTTTCCTTCTGTACATCTCAAGCCACCTTGACCTCATCCCCCTCGTACCTTCCGCCTTTATCTTTCCTCCTTACTTCTCTCCTCTCTCTCTCTCCTCTCTCTCTCTCTCTCTCTCTCTCTCTCTCTCTCTCTCTCTCTCTCTCTCTGTTTCTCTCTGTCTCTCTGTCTTTCTCTGTCTCTGTATCCCTGTCTCTCTCTCTGTTTCTTTCTCTCTGTCTTTCTGTCTCTCTGTCTTTGTTACTCTGTCTCTGTCTCTCTCTTTGTCTCTGTTTCTCTCTCTGTCTCTCTCTGCCTCTGTCTCTCTGTCTCTCTCTGCCTCTCTTTCTATCACTCTCTCGGTCTCCTTGTCTCTCTCTCTCTGTATTTGTCTCTTTCTCTCTCTTTCTGTCTCTGTCTTTGTTACTCTGTCTCTGTCTCTCTCTGTCTCTGTTTCTCTGTCTGTCTCTCTGTCTGTCCCTCTGTCCCTCTGTCTCTGTCTCTGCCTCTCTCTCTATCACTCTCTATGTCTCCCTGCCTCTCTCTCTGTATTTGTCTCTGTTTGTCTCTTTCTCTCTCTTTCTGTCTCTCTATCTGTCTTTGTTTCTCTGTCTGTCTCTCTCTGTCTCTGTCCCTCTGTCTCTGTCTCTGCCTCTCTTTCTATCACTGTCTCTTTCTCTCTGTCTTTCTGTCTCTCTATCTGTCTTTGTTACTCTCTGTCTCTGTCTTTGTCTCTGTTTCTCTGTGTCTCTCTGTCTCTGTCCCTCTGTCTCTGTCTCTGCCTCTCTCTCTATCACTCTCTATATCTCCCTGTCGCTCTCTCTGTATTTGTCTCTCTTTGTCTCTCTATACCTCTTTCTCTCTCGTTCTGTCTCTCTATCTCTCTTTGTTGCTCTCTCTGTCTCTGTCTCTCTCTTTGTCTCTGCTTCTCCGCCTGTGTCTCTCTGTCTCTGACCCTCTATCTCTGTCTCTCTCTCTCTGCCTCCCCACCCCTACACAGAGGATTGCCATATTGGCACCAGACTTTAGTGTGGACACCAGATAGGATTTAACCCTCCATCAGCCCCAAAGTCCCCAAAGCAAGGAAGTCGCTGGCCTCAGTTTCCCCAGGACCAGGGATTCGAGGTATACCACCCCACCCACAGCTCTCGGCCTCTTGCACACCTTCTACAGTCTGTCTTCTGACCTCATCAGTCTGCTGAGACTATTCTTTCCAAAGTCTCCAGCCACCTCCTAATTGCCCGATGGAACGGCCTTTTCTCAGTCCTCATCCTGGACCACATTTGGCACTTTGGGACCACCCTCTCCTTCTGGAAATCGGACATCTCAGGGGTTTATGACACTACTCTCTCCTGGTCCTCCTACCTGTCTGGCCAACCCTTCCCAGGGTCCTTGGCAGGGTCGACATCATGGAACCCCCTCTAACTGGGGGTGATCCCTGAGGCTCTGCTCTAAGGCCCTTTTCTCTCCCTCTAGTCTCCCCCTTAGACACTTCATCAGCTGCCATGAGTGAAATGATCATCTTCGGGCAGATGACCCCCAGATCCATCTACCCAGCCCTCATCTCTCCTCTGAGTTCTGATTGCATATCACCATCTGCCCACCAGCCACCTCCAACCGGACGTGATGGAGGCATCTGAGACTCAGCATGTCTGCCACAGAATGTATCCCTCTCACAAACTGCCCTGCTTCTGTCAAAGGCACCGCCATCTTTTCAGGCACACAGGCCTGCAACTGCAACCTTATCCTCAACTCTTTATCCTCACTAGCCTCACATATCCAGGCAGTGGCCAGCTCTTACCATTCCTGGACAGTCCCTCACACACACACACACACACACACACACACACACACACACACACACACACACACACACACAATCTCCTCTTCACTCACACAGCTGCCATTCTGCAGGGACTCATTATCTCTCACCTGGAATATTGCCATAGCCTCAGCCTTCCTGCAGCTCTGATACGTGGTGCTTCCATCTCTCATCCCCACACCTTTGCACTGGTTGTCCTCCATCCCTGGAAGCACTCTTTCCTCACCTCCAACTTGGGATTTCTCATTTTAACCACAACCTTCCACACGAAGCCATTTCTCATCCCCTCAGCTGCTAATAACCCCTCCAACATCCCCCATTACCCTGTTGTCCCCATGCAGAATGTAGGTTCACACAGGTCAGGGACTGCTTTGTTTCAGTCTCTGTGTCCCTGGTGCCTGGAACAGTGTCTGGCACATAAATGTTACTTAACAAATACTGGTCGATCAAGTGACTGGCCATCTAGTGGCAACTCTTCATTTTAAAAAGGAGGAGGGTCACAGTATCCCTCCACAACCCAGGCGGAGCTGGGCACCGAGGGGACGCCTGCCTCCCTGCCTTTGGGGGTGCCTTGGCTTAGGGGCACATCAGCTGCCTGGGCCTTGGGCCTTCAGGGACCTTGGCTCAAATCTTCCTGGTGCTGAATCATAGGCCGAGCTCTGGGGCCACCAACAGACAACACAGCCCAGGCAGCCTGGCTATTGACAGAGGCCTTGCTCACGGCCCTGGACCTCAACCAGCACGTCCCAAATGTGCTGTGTCTCTAGGCCTCCCTGGCCCCAGCCTCAGCATCCTCCAGGAAGGGCCCAGGTGTTGGTCTTGAAAGAGAGAGGCATCAGCACAGCCCCGGTGTCCGCTGCCTGAGCCGCCTCGGGCAGGTTGCTTTCCCACTCTGTGGGCCTCAGTTTCTCCATCTGTACGATGGGCGAGTTAGACCAGAGGACGTCCAGGTCCCTTGCAGGTTGACATTCTGTGCTTGTGGCCACCATGAACTCTGGCGTCCAGGCCTCTGCTGCAGATCCGGTTCTTCTGCTACCGGCTTTTTGGACACCTGCCTGCTTGTGAGGTCCCCTCCCCCAGCCTCCGCAGGCGCTAGAAATTAATTTCCTTGCTCTTTGTAATAGAGTCTTTGGTAGCAGCCAGCTAGTCACCAGCGCCCAGAGAAGCATGCCTACTGGCTATTGCCATGGAAACTGGAACCGAGCTAACCACCTCACAGGGCCCAGCATTGGTGAGACTTCCTGCCGTGATGCTAAATTGGCCGGAGCGTCATGTCTCCCTTGGTGATGTCTAAGGTCTCTCTGCTGCAGCTAGGAGCCGAGGAAGCTCTCCCAGCCCCCGCCCCCACTGCCGTCCCTTCCTCCTCAGGAGCCTGGCTCCCTGCTGGCTCACAGACACCTGTCAATTGGTTTACAGGGGCGCCAGCTCAGCCCTGACTGAGCCTTCCCCGTTTGCCTGGGAGCAGACCAGGGAAGGGACACTCTTTCCTGGAAAACCTTGGGATGCCTAAGAGAGTCCCTGTCCCCACTAGGTCCATTCTTGGGTTTCCTTGTCACCTCGGTGACCTCGGCCAGGTCCCTGCCCTGAGGTTCCTGGCGCAGCAAAGGAGGGGATTGGGCCCAGTGGTCTCTAAGGCCTCTCCCAAGCCTGGCCTGACAGTTCTATAGAGGTCAGTGCAGGCCCCTGTCTAGAAGGGGGGCATCGTGACCCCAGGACACCTAGAGCCTCCCGGGGGTCGGGGAGGACCGAGTGCCACGCTGCAGGCAAGGGTCTTTGTGACCCTCAGCACTCCAGGGAAATGCCACTGGGTAGCATTTTGACTGTTTCTTCTCTTTGTTATCAGACTATAGCTGCCACTGGGGCAAAAGTGGCTTCTGCTCCAAGTCTGGGCAGCGGTTCCCTTCCTTCAGAATGATTGAATTAAAAGATGATGACCCCCAGGCCATTAAGCAGGAGTTTACAAAGATTCATCAGAAAGTGGATGCCCTTCTGAGCAGCCTGGAGAAAGAGCCGGCCCAACAGCCAGAGAGGCAGGAGGCACCCAAGGGGGTTTCAAGCAGCAGCAGCAGCAGCAGCTGCAAGGATCCCCTGACTAACGTGAAGATGGGGCCTGAGGATGGCAGCAGCAGTGGCAGCCCCGGACACTGGGCCTAGGACGGGTCATCCTGGAGGAGGGGTCATCCTGGCTGAAGGTCTGGCTGAAGGTCAAGGCTCAAGGACCAGCTGGGGGTGGCTAAGGGACACTGGGGGAGGATTAGCAGCAGCAGCAGCGCTCTCCAGCACCCTGGGCAGGGGGGTGATGGGGCCTTCGAGGGCTCCCCTGGCCTCATTGTAACACCAGGGCCCTCGTCCTAGAGCCAGCCTCACCAGGTTCTCTCCCGTGGTACGTGCTCACTGTTGCCCTCAACCTTAGCCTCTCCCTCAATCCCCTGTGCCTGCAGAGGCCTCTTTCCAACCACAATTCTTAGAGGAGTTCGATGAAGATCTCTCTATTTTCCTCATTTAACTAAGAAACCTTGTTTTGGCTAAAACAATAAAGTTCTGTTGTCCTGCTGCAGTTCTTTTTGTAAAAGGGGGCCGCCTGGGTGGAGAGGGGTGGGGGGATGGGGAATGAAACCGGGCAGGTAGCTGGGGGGTCTCTATCCAGCCGACACTGTCTTGGCCCAGGTCAGACAGTACAGTGGGGGGATGGCCTGAACCCTGGCCTCTTCTCAGCTGCTCCTCCCAGAAGAGGAGCCTTGAGATGAGGTCATGCTGACATGTCTGGGTTCCCCCTCCATTCCAGCTTGTCCAAGCCCTCCTGGGTAGAACTCCAGCTAGGACAAGGCCATGAGGTCTTTCCCCAGGATCCCAACATGTAGCCATCTTCCCTGCAGCATGCCTCCATTCTGCCATCCCCATGCCTCATGATCTTCATTCCTTACAATAAAGGGTTGACCGATTCCTGGCCTGACACGGAGTACACCTCCCAACGTCTGGTAAGACTGTCTGCCAGGGATCCCGCAAATCTAATGAAAAGGGCTTGAAACCCAAAAAGGAGGGGGAAGGAGAAGACTGCCTCTCTTTTTCCCTACAGGAAGATACTGCTTTCCCTTTTTGGTGTTGTGGAAGCCGCCTTTGGCAGTCTGTCTGGGGAGGCCTGTGACCATCTTCTCAGCATCATGTTTTCAGTGCATAAAATACAGTATATGTGATTATGAAGGAAAGCAGTTGTACCAAAATACAGTTATCCAAATGTTTTCTAAAAGCCCAGTTCATCGACTGCAGGTTAAGGACCCCTGCTATCCAGAGTAGCCCCAGAGAAGGAAGAAGAATAGCGACTGAGGCACCCAGACATTCACAAGAGACAAAATCCAAGAAGGAAGCTCATGGTAAAAACCCACCGGCCCAAGAGTCTGTGCACAGGCCACCACAATCTAGGTACCGAATGTGAAGGAGCTGAGGTCCTCGTGCAAGGGGGCAAGTCTGACCTCTTAGCAATCCCTGAGACTTGGTGGGCTGAAGCCCACGACTGGACTAAGATTCTGCATGGGTGTTTCACTTTTTTGTTGCTGTTGTCAAAGCCTTTTTCACTCGTGACTGACTTTCTGTGACCTGACCCCATCCGGGGTTTCCTTGGCAGAGATACTGGAGTGGTTGGCCATTTCCTGCTCCAGCTCGTTTTACAGAGCAGGAAACTGAGGCAAACAGGGTGAGGTGACTTGCCTGTGGTCACACAGCTAGGAAGTGTCTGAGGCCAGATTTGAACTCAAGAAGATCATCTTCCTGACCCCAGGCCGGGGCACTCTGTCCACTGTGCCACCTAGCTGCCTCTGGATAGGTTTACCTTATTCAAAAGAAACAGACTAGGCAGGTAAACGGTGGGTGCGTGGGGTCAGAGGGGCTAGGGCCGTGTATCAAGAAAATAGATTCGTGGGAGAAAATCCAGGAGCCAAAGGGATGGGGGAAGCATGACAGAGTATACTGAGTGCAAATTGAAGGAGGGAGAAAAAGAGTCATTTTGCCTTTGGAGTATACTGCTCACCTCCTGCATACAAAGAGGAGATGGAGGGGGGCTTTGGGAATGGATCACCAAGCCGGCACTGGCGTAGGGTATGGTGCTGAGTGGTGAGGGGGACCTCGGCTGTCCACGCATCTGGAGCGGGAGCTCTCTCTGGGCCAAAAGCAGAGAAGTCCTGAACGTCTTGATGGGCCTTCGAGAGAATGTCTTCCTTGAGAAGGCGGAGCCTCCAACAAGGCAAAGTTCTAGTCTGTATGAAAGTCTCCCTAACAGGGAGCAACTGGCATGTGGCAGAGGATGGGACTTATCTCCTTTGGGCCCATGGAGCAGAACCAGGAACAGAGAGTGGAAGACGCATAGCCTGGAGGTCAGGAAAAGTTTCCTCACGCTGAGAGCTGTCCAAAAGGGGAACAGGCCGCCTGCAGAGACGGTGGGGGGTGGAGGGGGGGGACTCCCCTCCCTGGAGTCTGCAAGCTGTGGCGACGTGACCATTTCCTGGGCAGGTTATAGTGGGGGTTTCTTTAAGGGATGGGCCGGACTAGGTGGCTGCTAAAGCCCCTTCCCAATCTCAAATTCTGTTCTTCAGCCTCCCCTACACCAGGGGGAACTAGGAGGGTCCTGCCCCTTGCTCAGGTGGGTCCCTCTCATCCCCATTTCCTAGGCCCCCTTGAGCTCTGGCTCCCTCCTGGTGATGCTGCAGCCCTGGCCACCCTTGCCAGCCCTGATTCCCCGTTCCCATACCCTCCTCCTCCTCCCTGGCTGGGGTGGGGTCGGTGGAATCCTCCTTGCCCCCCATTGCCACGTCCAGACTCTAGCGCCATGGTGCAGCAGCCTCTCCTCCTCTGAGCCTCACGCTGTTCCAGACGATCACCTCATCCAGATGCTGTTGGCTGTTCCCCACCACTCACCCCCCCTCCCCGGGACAGCCTCCTTCCTTCCTCAGAGACTTCAGAGCTTGGTTCCCAGTCTTTCTTTCCATCCCCCCCCCCCCTTGTAGCCAGGGACTTCAGCATACACACAGATACTCCCTCCAACAGCCTCACCTCCCAGTTCCTGTCTGCTCAATTCTCGTGGCCTTCTCATCCACTCCAACTCCACCAGTGCGCCTTGTCCGTGAATTCCAAAGTTACCTGATTATCATCCTTTGTCACTCCATCCTTCTCTCACTGTTTGCCATCCCCCATCCCCCCAATCCCTCCACTCCCCAGTTCTTTCCCAGGCTCTCTCCCTCCTGCGGTGGCCAGACTTCCCTCACTTCCCTCTCCTGGCTCCTTGAGGAATCGATTGATGCCACACCAGCCTCTGCACTTGGATACTTTGCTCCTTCATCCCTTCATCCTCTCATGATCCCACCTTGGCAAACCCAAACCTTGGCTCACTCCCACTGTCCACCTCCTTTGCTCTTATCCATGCGCGGCTGTGTCTTCCCCAGCAGACGGCCTCCTCTGCCAGCCCCAATCTCTCCCTAATCTTCAGTCCCTTCCTCTGGGCTGGCGGCCCCCTCACTCCCTACCAATATGCCCCTGTCTCTTCATCTTGAAAAGATCATCGCTTCTTCCTGCCTTTTCCGCTAGCTACTGTCTTATAGCTTCTCATCCCCTCCTTCTCTTACTAGCCAAACCTCATGGCTGTTTCTCCATCCTCGCCCTTGGCACTATTGATCACCATCTCCTCCTAGGTCCTCTCTCCTCTCTAGGTTTTCAGCACACTGCCCTCTCCTGGTTCTCCTTCTACCTGTCTGACTTCTCTTCCTCAGTCTCCTTTGCTCAATCTTTATCTAGCTCATGTCCACTGACTGTGGATCGCCCCCAAGGCTCGGTCCTGCACCTTCTCCTCTTCTTTCTCCATTCTCTTGCTTGGTAATGTCATCGGCTCCCATGGCTTCAATTACGTCAATGCAGATCATTCCCATGTCTATGTATCTGGGTGGGACAGTGGATAGAGCACTGGGTCTGGAGTCAGGAAGACCTGAGTTCAGATCTAGCCTCAGATACTCACTAGCTGTATGACCTTGGGCAAATTTAACCTATGTTTGCTTCAGTTTCCTCAGCTGTCAAAAAGAGGTGGTGATAATAGCACCAACTTCCCAGGCCTGTTGTAACCATCATACTAGATAATGTTTGCCCCGTGCCTGGCACATCGTTGGTGTTTAGCAAGTGCTAGCTGCCTGAGTTCTAGGGAGCCCATCTGGAGCCTCACCGGGGTGGGCCACATTTCTTGCCTGGGATTCTGCTAATCAAATTAGCCTGATTATTTCTGACCTGTCCTCTTTGCTTAATGCTAGCATTTACATAACACTTTAAAGAGCATTACAAATATTGTGTCATTGGTAGGGTTATAACTATCCCCATCATACAAATCAGAAAACTGGGAAGCAGGGAAGCAGATGACTTGCCTGAGGTCATCTCCCAACTCAGCACATTCACTGGCCATGCCCCATGCCAGGAATGCTCTTCCTCTTTGCCTCCACCTCCTGGCTTCCTTCAAGTCCCGGCTAAAATCCCATCTCCCACAGGAAGCTTTTCTCATCCGCCTTCTTGTGAGTGCCTTCCCTCCACTTGTCTCTTTCCAATTCATCTTATAGAAATCTTATTTGTAAAAATTGTTCCTCTGTTGTCTTTCCCATTAGACTGTGAGCACCTTGAGATCAGGGACAGTCTTTTGCCTTTCTTTGTGTCCCTAGGGCTTAGCCCAGTGTCTGGCACATAGAAGGTATAAATAAGTGCTCATTGACTGACAGATGGACTATTTGATACAGGTTGTAAACATTAGAATTGGGATAAGAACCCTTGTGTTCTGACTCTGAAGCTCTTGGGGGAGAGGCAGTGTGGTCTAGTGGATATTGAGCTGACCTAAGAGTCAAGAAGACCTGAGTTCAAGTCCTGCCTCTGAATCATACCAGCTGTGTAACTGCTGGGATCCTCACTACCCTCTTAGGATGCCTCTGAGCCGTTACAAAGAAAGCATTACTTTGCATTAGTAGAGGGGGTCCCTCCCCATCAGCTCCCTGCCCTGATAAAATCACAGGTCCCGTCCAAAAAAGAGAAGGTGCTGGGTTGAACAAAGAGAAGAATCCAAGTCCTACCCTCACGGAGCTTACATTCTACTGAATCACTATAGGGCCCTGGGTTTCCAGCATTCTTTCAGCTCCACTGCACCCCCATCACCAGTTGACTTTTGGCTGTCCCAGAGACATTTTCCACTCAATACAACCCAAACTGAACTCCTTCTTTTCCCCTTCAAATTCTCCCCCTCTCCCTTACTCCACGGTTCTGTCCAAGGCAGTCCCATCCTTCTGGTCTTGGGGTGGGAGCCTTGCACTCTTCTGGCCTCCTTCCTCTCTCACCCCACACAGCCAGTCCATTGCCAGACCTTGCCTGCTTCTTCCTCCACAAAACCCCTCCAATATGGCCCCTTTTCTCCATTGGCACAGTGCCCCCCTTCATTCAGGCCCTCATCACTTCCTGCCCAGATGATTAGGTTTTTTGTCTCAGGTCCCTCCCCACCCCCTACATCCCCC